AACTAGAAACTTGCATCAGAAAAGATGTAAAAAAAATACGTAATAGGAACAAGTCTGAAGCCAGTAGAGAGCCTGAGTATTCTTCACAATCAGCATATACCTAGAGTAATGGTTCTCAGTGTGGTCCCCAGACCAGCAGCACCAGCAGTACCTGGGAGCTTGTTGGAAATGCAAATTCCCAGGCCCTGCCTCGGACCTACTGAATCACTAGGAGTGAGCCTTGGGAATCTAGGCTTTACCAAGCCCACCAAGTGATTCCGATGCACACTGAAGTATGAGAATCACTGAGCTATAAGCATTAAAATCGCCAGGAAAAGCTACCTATCAAACCAAGTAAGGCATAGCGAGACCATCAATAGAGGATAATACTAAATACAGCCAATCGAGGACCGAGATTCAGCAGTAAGCCACCCATGGCTAGAATGCGTACCAATCTCCTCATCCTATCTAGTCACAATTGTTTGTTGCCTGGGCTATAATAGCTCGGTGACCATCTGTCCTGGTTTGGCCAGGGGAGTCCTGGCTTGAATCTGTTGTCCTGGTCTAATGAAAAGAAGTCTCCCTTTCACTCTCAAAATTGTCCAGATTTTAAATATATGGTTCCCCTGGTAATAGCCTTCTGCCCATTTTCCCTGCTTTCACTCTCACCCATCTCCAATATGTTCTCTTCCCAGAAGCTAAAAATGTACATCATTCGTGTCACCCATCTTCTACAAAACCTTTCAATGACTTTTCTTTGCTGAGATAAAACTCACAGGCCTCACAATGGCCCACAGCACTTAACCTTCCATCTTCACTGCATTCCTTATTTTCATTTGCTTTCTTTGTTCCAAGAACATTAGCCTCCTGTTGATACCTTCACAAGCCAAGTTCATCAGACCTCAAGGTTTCTGCACATGCTGCCGATCCTTCTTGTATTGTGCCCAATCTCCATCCCTCTTCCAATGTCAGGTAGTCTCCTATTTTCATTTAATAGTATTTCAAGTGATTTCTCAAATATTCTTTGAAGATATTATTTTAATAACTGCATAATTTCCCATCATATGGATTTGACATAATCTACTTAACCACTCCCTAATATTACTGATTAATATCATTATTTTTTTGCTGTTATTAGTAAAGCTGTTTTTGAATCAGTCATGCTTGGTTTCCTGTTGCGACCAACTCAAACTACCTCAGGACAAAAAAGGAAATTTATTGGAATGATACAGGGGTTTTTCTATACATGAAATAAGAGTTAAACAATGAAATTGCAGAAAAGGCAGGGTTAGAGAAATAATTGAGACCAAGAATACAAACGTAACCAGGACACACTGGATAAGTAGGCAGATAGATGGATGGATGGATGGATTGATGGATAGATGGATGGATAATCGATGGATGGATGGATGGATAAGTAGATAGGCAAAAGATAGAATGTACATGTGTATCTATATGCACATACATATCCATGTATATATATCCACACATATATATGTATATATCCAAACATATTGTGTGTGTGTATATATGTACATATACATATACATACATATATAAACGTCTCTTCTTTCCTCTGTGTGCAGTATTACCCTTTCTCACTAGAATAGACTCACCTCCTTATCAATACTCTCAAACCATGGCTCCCAACACCAGAGAGAGATACTGATTCATACTCTCTAGTCTCAGGTTCAAAATTCCCCAAGGAAGGAGTCTAATTGGCTCAGCTTGGGCCATGTGCCCTTTCTTGGGTCAACTGGCCATAACAGCATTTATACAAACACCATCACTGCCAAGGAAGATGAAACCTAGCAAAAGGGGGCTGTTCTTCCTAAAACAAGAACAGAGAGATGCTGAGCAAACATAATTATAGACACTACTACAGATAAATTGTAAGGACATGGTGGAGAAGATTTTTTTAATCACATGCATATTTTTAAATAATTTAATAAAGATATAAAAGAAAAAGATTTTTAAAGCCCATAATTTCGATCTCTTAAAAATCTCATTTCTGATAACCTTTTCAAATATCTTTCCATATGTATATATAGTTTTATATAGTTGCATTCAAATTAAATATAAAATCATATATTATGGCTTTAAGCCATTTAACATTTTATTCAATATTTTTCATACTTCTGCATTGTCTTTCCTGATTTTTCTTTTTATCTCACTATAAAAATAATCTTTGATCACTGTACTACGACTCCTACTAATAATGGCTAACACTTTTATGGGACTTCTATGTGCCGGACACTGTCCTACACACATTATGTACATCGATGCATTTAATTTTGGTCCATCTACCTGATTCTGGACCTTATGAGGTAGGTGCAATTATTATCACCATTTCTTTAGAAGAGGAAATTGAGGCACAAAGAGGTTAAGCAACATGTTATAGTAAGTGGCAGAGCCAGTATTCAATCCCGGGGAGGCTAGCTCTAGATTCACAAGAGCAACAGAGGAAGGAGGAAAAACACCACATAAGATCCTGACTCCCTGTCTACGTACATTTTGCTGTATCTTCCTCTAATCTTTTTCTTAATTTGCAGTCTTCTTCTGACACAGTCGAAATTATAACTTGAGATAGATGGTAAATATTTGGCAAGTATTACATCACTCCCTACCCTGACCCCCATCCTGTCCCATGTCCACTTTCATTCACAGCATTCTTTCCCACTGAGCCCAGATGTGGCCTCAAAATCTATCTGAGAAAAAAGTCACACACAATCGATTCTAGTTGATATACAAGATGAAATTATACATAATTTCTGTACTTTATATCCTGATGTCCTGTTGTTAAAAACCTTTTAAAACATTACTTTTAAGGCAAAATGACTTGTTCATTTACTAAAGATAATCATTTTAGTCATTTGCTTTAGTTGTTTAGTTGTTTACCATTATAAATTGCATAGCTATATCAAAATAATATGTAATACTGTAATGAATAAATTTTATCTTTATTTCTATTTTTTCCTCTTAGTATAGGTTCCAATAAACAGCATAAATGTCAGAGCTTTTATATCACAACTTCCCCAATTTCCCTTTTTTTCATTTATTTCTCAGGCAGCTGCATGGTGGGGGTGCAGAAAGGGGAGGTGTGAACTGATGCAATGGGAAGAAAGGGGATGCTTCTTCCTTACTCCTGATGTCACCAGTGGAACACTCCTGGCCCCTTTTCCCAACGTCTCACTCACTTTTCCCTGGATAGGAGTTAAACAGTGACTTATATGACCAGCAACTTTGGGCTAAAACTTAGATCTGTTTGGCATTGCCTCATCCTTCCTGATCCAAGCCTGCCTTCAGGAAGCATCTCTTCTGCTTGGCCCCTCCATGCTGGATATTCCTCAGAACAGACACCCATGTGGCAAAGACACTTGTGGGTACAGATGTCTAGGCCTAGGGTTTAGTTAGGAAATCCAGTAGTCCATAGATATAAGTCAGGTACAGTCTCCAATATAAGCTTTATCAGCTAAATAAGGGGACTATTTTGGCCCATCTTCCCAACTTCTGACTATTTCTAATTTAGTTCAGAACTTGGGCAGAGACGATGGGCGCTATTTACTGAACTCTAAGCCCTCAGTAAGTTGAAATAGTTAAGATATTTTTCATGCTGTTTTCTAAAATCTAACGTATTTCAAACTATCTCTATATTTTTGTACATAGTTGTGCTGTGTATAAACTTACTTGCTTTTAACCATTTAGCTTCACAACTTTGGCAATTTTGCTATATTTTCATCTGGATTTTGTTTTATAAGTGAAAGTTCTGGGGCTAGCCTGGGTGCTGTTTCTTTGTAGGTAATTTTTACCCTGCATGAATGTTTTTTAAATCATTTTTAAAATCACTGTTAATTTTTTTAAATTTCAGTTTATGCCTAAAGGTTATTCTCTTTTCATTGATTTTGTCTGAAATGTGGTAAACTAGTTCTATTTACATATCATATTTATTTGTTTTGAATTTTTAAGCTTAGGAAAATTTGCTTTGACCATGGTTTGTTTCCAATTGTTGTTGTTGTTTTTTTTTAATCATCAGAAGCATATATTATTGGTGGATTAGACCTCCAATTCCTATCCTCCACGTCAATCATTTTCATCTCTTTGTACTCCATTTTTGAGAATCTTCTCAATTTTTTCTTTCACATCTCTGATTCAATTTTTTTACCATGTTAACTCTGTTCCTTACTGCTTCTGTACTACACTTAGCATATATGTGAACATTAAATGTTTCCTGAATAACACATGAATGATTACTATGGAATTTTACTTTTTCTGTTTGTTCTTATTCTCCTCTCATGTATCTCTTTCCATTTAATGCCATTGTTTTTTCGTGTCAGCTATACCTTCTTTCTAGTTTTTTATACCCATTTCATAGTGTCATGTCTCTGCATCCTAAGAGCACACCAAACAATTTTCTCCTGGTTCTTATGATAAACGAACCATTTTTCAGATGTCTGTCTTTTCTCTGGTTATTTAGAATGATGCTTTCTTCCTTTTACTTGGTGATACTTTCCCTCCCTGCCCCCCCCCCCACCTCTGAAACCCACACTTCACTCTATCTTCTCATCCCAGAATGAAGTGAGCTCCACTCAGATGTTGTGTTGGTTAATACCTACATAGAATCCACGCTTTTCACTCGGCCGTGCTCCAAGTGGAGTGGTGGACTGAGTTACTTTCTCAGATCTATGTCTGATGTCTATGTATGAAGAGTTGATGCACAAAATTTTTAGCTAGTACCCAATTTCTAGCAGGAGTTCATTTAATAGGAATATGCTAGAATGAAATAGAATCTTGCCCTGCCCCACTGTGTGACTCTCAGATGCTCTGAACAGATGGAATTCATAAAGCACGAGAGTCCCCATGTGCCGACAATACTTGCCGATTGCTCCCACCGCAGTGCTTTACTTGTGGGAATCAAACCTCCCAGGATGAAATTCCGTCCTCCCTTACTTCCTGCCCAGTTGTTTCCTGAAAGTGTTTTATTCTGCTGAATACAGAAACAAAAAAAAAGGTACAGATGGGAAACAGAGACAACACTGGCTGCTTCAAGAGAAAGCACCAACACAGGGGAGAGAAGACTGCCCATTTTTTCATTTGGTACAGATCTTCTGTGACAGACAAAAAGGTGGTTTGTCCCATCTTTGTTCTGGTTGGCATAGCACAGAATAAACAGATTCCAATGATGTTTTCCAGATCAGCTTCTTAGGCTTTACGATTGTTGTAAAATTCTCCCAGATTCTGGCACAAGGTTAATCAATAGTCAACCAACATTTGGTGATGGTTTTCAAAGCGTAGGTTCCTAGAGTCAGAGAGGCTTCCATTTGCATCCTGGCTCCTCTACTCACCAGCCTTTTGACCTTGGGAAAGTTATTTCACATCTCCCAGCCTGGTTTTCTTATCTGTAAAATGATGATAATAATAGTATTCACTCTATATTCACTCTATCAGGATGTTGTATGAAATAATTGGGTTAAGCCTTTGTCATAAAGTAAATGCAGAAACAGTATTATTGAAAGTTTTTGGTGCTATAATGTTTTCATCTTTATCTAACTCCATAGATATTATCAACTAATTTTTATTTTTCTTCCACGATTAATGAATATTCATTTTATGATTCTGGGAAGATATTGCCAAGCAAAAAGAAAAAAATTAAATCACCTAGAATCCTACCATTCAGAGGAACCACTGTGACATTTTGTATCATTTTCAGTTTCCTCCCATGAGCGTACTGTGTGGTGCTGGAGGGGGAGGTGTGAGTGTGTGTAAACAAAAGTAAGCTATTACTATTTTCCAACCTATTTCTTCACTGTTTTCCACAAACATTTTTAATGTTACTATTATTTGACACAGTTCTAATGGCTGCATAATATGCCATTACATGGATATGTCATAGTTTATTTAACCTATCATTGAACATTTAGGATTCCAAAAATTATTTTACTACTAGCAACACAGAATGGATATTCTTATAAATTTTTCCTCTTCATCTATGTTTAATTTCTTAAATAAATAAATTCCTAAAAGTGGAAGTATTGGATCAAATTCACATAAGTTTCATAGGTGCTTCTTACATATTGTCAAATTACCCTCCACAAATTCATAGCAATTGCCAAATGTATCACCTTCAAAAACACAAAAATAACTTTTTTTTTAGTGTAATTGTTAGTAAGAATGAACATTTTAATGTTTCTTGGCAATTTAAATTTCTTTCTCCCTTTTCTGTAAATTGCCTATTTTCATTGTTTTTCTGTTTTCAACGAGGCATTTTTTTCATTGATTTCAAGAGAGCTTTTTATTTAATAAACATTTAATCCCTTATCAGTAATTTCTTTTTTAAATGTTTGGTACAATTCACCGGTGATGTTATATTAGCCAGTGGTTTTTTGATTTTCTTTGTGGGAAGGTTTTTAATTACAGATTCAATTTCTTCGATAGGTATAGGACTTTTCTGATTTTCTAAATTTTTTTGAATAAGATTCGGTAAACTATGTTTTCCTAGCAATTTGTGCAGATTATCTAAAATTCCAAATTATTTGCTAGAAAAAAATTTATAGTATCCTTTTTGATATTTCTAGCTTATAAGATATATACTAATATCCTGTTTTGCATTTCTATTGTTAGTAATTTGTGATATCTCTTTTTTCCCTTAGTCTTGCCAGTAGACTCTCCATCTTATTACTCACTTTGTTTTTACAGGTGTTTGTATCAGTACTATATTGATTTACAAAAGCTTCATATTGTTATATAAATCCATCTTTTTCTTTCCTTGTGATTACTTTCCTGTTTTCCCCTCAAAATCAGATAAATATTTATCTGTATTTTCTTTTAGTTGTTTTTATTTCTTTTGTAGTTGTTATTAAATTAAAAACTTTAAATAAAATAATACATGCACATATTTAAAGAAAATAGACAGCTCAGAAAGGTGTAATATGAAAAAATTCTCTCCCTCTTTACCCCCACTCCCAGTTTCACTTTGCAGAACTCTTGTAATGAGCTTTTGTGTAAACTTCCATAATGTATTTATGCACAGACCAGTGTGTGTGTGTGTGTGTGTGTGTGTGTGTGTGTGTGTGTGTGTATGTACTACATATAATATATATTAACACATTTTGGGACCAGCAGCAGTTCTAAACACTATATATATATTTATATGTTGTTATTTAGGCATATGCTTGTAAGCATAATGATTTTGTTCTAAATTAGCGATTCTCAAACTTTAACATGCATCAGAATCATCTGCGAGGTTTATTAAAACACAGATGGTTGGGTGCTACCCCCAGAGTTTCTAATTAAGTAGGTCTCAGGAGGGGCCAGATTATTTGCATTTTTAACAAGTTCCTTAGTGTTGCAGATCCTGCTAGTCTGAGACCACTCTTTAAGGACCACTGCTCTAAATAATTATTTCAGAGCCCCAGAGTGAAGACCCCATTCAAGTGTATTTAATGAAGAACAACAGAGCCTGGAATGAGAGTGGTCACTGATACGGTATGACCTACTCAGGAATTCCCTCTACTGTGAATGCCAGCCAGCCCCCTTTCTACACAGACACCGCTCGCAAAACTGACATCCAAGCAGGGAATGTCCTTCATTTATTTCCTAATAATACAACCTTGTTGTATAGTCATGTTACCAGAGAGACAGGAATTTAAGCCATTACTACATGAGACCACGTAGTAATGGCTGCAGGGGAGAGCTCCAGAGGGCAACTGTGTGCAAAGTGCAGTCCTGAGATCTACATCAGCATCCCCAGAGACACTCGCTTGAAAGGATCTGAACATGGGACTCAGGGAACCTGCATTTTTAAAAAGCACCCAAGGCAATTTTTCCGTACCTTCCTTTGCATTTTATAACTGTTCTGAGGAATAAAGCAGACAGCAAGACCACCGGGGCAAAGGTGAAGGAAACCTACAGAAGCAGGGAGTGGAAAAACATAAAGGAAAAAAGAAACCGAAACAAGGGGCTGCCTACCACCCCCAACTGCCATTTATTAGGTGCCTCCTAATTACCTAGCATTCGTTTAGGCACTTCATATACGTTACTTCCTTTTATCCGCACAAACCATGATAAAAATGAGGCTGCAGAGTTGAAGGAAGCATTGGTCAGTGGTGGCGCTGAGATCTGAACCCATGTTTCACTCCCGTGCCTATGTTCCTTTCTTTCTATTTCACGCTGCCTCCTTCAGCATTTCACCTGAGTGAAACAGGAGGTAGATGAGCGTGCTCCCACATGGACTGTCCTTTGAGTGGGAAGGTGGTGATAGTGGCGGAATTGTTGGTGCTCATTACGTGGATGTGCCAAGTGATGAAGAGGATAAGAATGACTGAGTCACTGGTGAATCTGGTGATATGGAGAGCCAACCTGAATGAGTAGAGCTCAAGTTGAGTTTTCAGTCTGAATTGCTCAACTTGGCCACTGGCAATGCCTCATTTCTCAGACAACTCTTCAGTCAACCATCCTGTGAGTCACCATCACAAAAAATCCAAGGGTGATTATGCCAGCAGGCCCTAAGAACAGCAAAGCAGTGGAGTCTGGGAAGGCCCCAAATAACACTGCCAAGATCCCCTTCCTTCTGATTTTTAAGCCCATGTGTGCTTCTTGGAAAATTTAATCCACATGTTTTGGGATCATTTACACTTAACCCATCAAAATACAGTTTTATAAGAGCCATTTGATGTCTCTTTCTTTTTAAAACATAAGCCTCTAAAAGCACATTCTTTCCTACCCTTATCCCCAATTTCTGAAGCTGGAAGTTGTATTTTGTCAATAAAAACTAAGCCTAGAACCTGAAAACAGTCAACCTCAGGCCTAACCTAGCCTATGAAAAGTGACAAGTTTGAAGTCTGGACAAATATGTTCTCTCATTTCCCAGAAAAGTGCCCTTGCAGCTGTGGGAAGAAAGCCCACCATGCTGCAGATTCGGCCCCCTCCACAGACAGCCCTCCGCCTGGCAAAGGAACACAAGATGTATTCCAGACCCTTGTTTTTAATCAAAGAGCTCTACCCGCTTTTCTCAGGGTGGCATTCTGAAAGCCCAACTTACTGATTCATTCCAGTGAAATCCGCAGGACACCAAACCATGACGAATAGACTCCAAACTGTTTCTGTCTCCTTCCCATGGAAGTGTTTCTCTGCGAAGAGCATCCTAACCTCTGCCAAGTGCTCATCACCCACAGCCTCTCCAGGGACACCTGAAATAGAAGGAAAATGGTGCGCATTACCAATAGCATGGTTCTAAGAAAAAGAGTAATTCTGCAAATCCAGCATTCATAATTTATTTCATATGCTCTATTTCCTTTTTGTTTTGCTAGGTTGGTTGTAATTGCCATATAGGTTTCCCAACTCGGGGCTACCATAATATTACTAGCATCTAATGGACTGTTTTCAGCTGTCCTTCAAGAGCAAACCCAAATAATCCAGGGTGAACTGTTCCCTAAAGATTCCATTTTAAGTTAAAAGGAATACATTGATAGAAAACAGTATGGTGATGCCTCAAGAAATTAAAAATAGAATTACCATATGATTTAGCAATTCCATTTTTAGGTATATATCCAGAAGAATTGAAAACAGAGTCTCAAAGAGATATTGTACACCAATGTTCACAACAGCATTATTTACAAAGGCAATGATAGAAGCAACCTCAGTGTCCATTGACAGATAAATGGATAAACAAAATGTGGTACACACACACACACACACGCACACACACACAGAGAATGGAATATTATTGAGCTTTAAAAGGAAGGAAATTCTGACACATGCTACAACATGAATGAACCTTGAGGACATTATGCTAAGTGAAATAAGCCAGTCACAGAAAGAAGAAATACTGTCTGATTTCAATTAGATGAGGTACCAAGAATAGAAAAATCTGTAGAGACAGAAAGTAGGATGGTGGTTGTCAGGGGCTGGAAAAAGGAGAATGGAGAGTTATTGTTAATGGGTTCACAGTTTCAATTTTGCAAGAATTCTGGAGATTTACAGTGGTGATGGTTGCATAACGCTGTGAATGTACTTACCACCACTGAACCACACACTTTAAAATGGTTAGAATGATAAATTTTATCTTAATGTCACAATTTTATCACAATTTTTTTTTAAAGAATAAGTTGAACCCAAGCAGGTGAAGAGTGACTAGATTTGAGGTGATTTTTATAACTTATCAGCATCTGCTTTGGGAAGCTTAATCTTGTTTTATCTCCCACCTTGGAAATCAGTTTTGAATGGATAGGAATACTAACGTGTTCCATGGTTTTTATTGTATCTTCATGGCTATCATTGTTATTTCTTACCCTTAATATTAATGCACAACTGGTAAATCCTCCTTGAGAGGTTATTTCAACTGATTACTAAGAAGTAATCAATTGAATAATTCATCACCCCCCCCCCAAAGCGTGAGGGATCATAAAGCCTTCCAGAATAGGGTGCCAGAGTGAAGTCAGATTTTTAAATTTTATCCCTCACAACCAAAGAAAAATGATCTCAAAATAAGTAAAATAAGAAGTCAGAAATATAAGAGCACAAACTCATGCTATACTCTTTAAAAAGTGGTGATTGGAAAAAGAACAATTCAGAAGTTGACTTAATTCTTCTACTTTACCTCTCCAACATAACCCCCTACAACAACAGTGGAGAAAAACGGAGTGGAACGATATCCCTGAATCACAAGGTTAGGGGTGGGTTGTGCTTTTATTTTATGCATGTTAGCCTTTAAAATATAGTGATACTCTATTATAGAGTGATACTCTATTATACAGGATGATAATCAACCCCTTGATTCCCTTTGACTTGGACTTTTGACCTTCACCCATAACATTTTCAATAAGGCAAGAATTCAGACAGCCCTTGTGAAAATGGAGAGAGATGTCATGCAGAGAGCGAGAATCAGTGCATTCCAGACCAAAGCAACTGCAAAACAGCCATTGTTTCCAGTGTCAGAAACTGGGGGGTGGGTGGGAAACAAATTTAACAATGATTTTTTAAAAAGAGAGAAGGAGAAGGCGCAGAAGAGTTAGAGAAGAAAATGTGTGAGACTACATGAGGGTCTTTAGAGAGTTACGTGCTGAAGAGGAAGGAAACAGGTCAAAGAAATCGTGGGAGAAGGTTTTGATCACAGATTGAATACTAGGTGACAAGCACATGAGTTGTTACACTCACCTTGTGATTATTTGTCTGGAAAGTCGAAATACAAACCAGAGGACTTGAAAGCTGATCGGGGAAAGCTTTTAGTGGAAATATGAGAATTTGGATCTTTGCCACGGGAGTGGTTGAGGGAAGAATGATGAGAGGATCCCTGAGCTATTGTCTATCATACAACCAGAATAACACCTCAGCCCTCCCACAGTGAGTTCCATCTTGAATACCATATGCAGAAACCACAACCTCCTTTTGATTCTCAACCACTGCCTGACCAAACAGGAAGCTTGTCCTAATGTCTACAGAATTCAAACTGTTTGTGAAAGGTGGAAGTCTTGCCAGCACACAATGAGTCAGCTGCCGTCAACCAGAGGCGTGAGTTAGGGCAACCACTTTGGACAATATGTTATTTTGGAAGTGAGGATTTCTTTTACGACATTTGAGCCTGGGAACATGGTGTGCTTTATATAAAGCAGAAAATAAATAAAAGATTTCAAGGAATTCCTCTCCCACATGACCAATTCAAAAACCCAGGCTGACAAACCCAAGTACTAAATAGATTCAATGAGCATGCATTAGCTCCAACTTTAAAAATACAATACACATGAAATCATTTTAGAAGTTTTTCTCCTAAAAAGGGAAGTCACTGAAATAGAAACTGGCCACGATAAATTTGTTTTTTTTTTTTTTATCAAGTATATGCACTGCCTCTCCTATATTCCCTAGATATATAGGAAAGTTGTTAAGAGAGTAAATCCTAAGAGTTCTCATTGCAAGGAGAACTTTTTTTCTTTTCTTTTTATTGTATCTATATGAGATGATAGATGTTAACTATTGTGGTAATCATTTCACAATATATGTAAATCAAACCATCATGCTGGATACCTTAAAGTGATGTATGTCAATTATTTCTCAATAAAAATGGAAAAAATAAAAAGAATATGTAATAGACAATATGTAAAGAAATGAGCATGCTTGTGTTTCAATAAAACTTAATTTACTTACTACATTATGTATTACTTTATGTATGTATGTCTATATTTTAAGGGTGGTGGGTAGGCTGGATTTGTTTGACTCATAAGCTACAGTTTGCCTTTTTCTCTCTAGAAGAACTGAATTCTCCAGACTCTAAATCCTGTTCTTTTTTTCTCTGGGCTAAGTTAAAAATAAGTAAATAAAGCATAAATCCTGGAGTAAATCTCCATACTAACTAGTTGTGCTCACAAGCATGGACTCGAAAGAAAGAAAAACATCATCCTTGAGCCAGAGCTTCCATTTACCATCCATGCCTCACATCTCCATTAATCTACAAATGATAAGTGCATGGCATCTTCACATCGCTCTGTTCCATGACATAGATACCATTAAAAAGAGCACATCCCAACTGTAAATAAACATGACCTCTAAATCAAGTTGAAAAAGGGGAGGAGGAAGGAAAGGCGTTTCTCGGAAACTCTACAAAGGAAGACATTGTACTTGGTCCTGGGCAGAATTGTTTTTCAGTCAGTCTTTTGGTTTTAAATACTTGATGCTTCTAATTAACCTTAGTTAATAAATTAATTAATCAAAAATATAAAAGTTAGTAGCGATAATAATATGTAATATTTAATGAACCTTTAGTTTGTGTCAGGCACTCTGATACAGCATGCAATATATCACATTGAATCCTCGTAAAACCCAGTTTACCCTAACACCCCCTTTTAAACCCTGGACAGAATATATGTGGTAGCTGATTGAAGACTCTGGAAGATAAATGGTAGCTGGCGGATTGAGGAAGAAGACCAGAATTCAAACCAAATTGGCGATGTTTACCATTTTCTTTTCCCTCTCTGATATCACCAGACCTGAACTCAACACAGTTCAAAACTCGGAAATGGGCACTAGTCTGAACAGAGTTCTAGGTAAAGCCCTCTAGATTTGGCTCAGGGACAGGAAAGAGAACTCTTAAGCTCAGAGAGGATGTAGAGTTCCCCCTCTCCATTTTCTTGCACCCCGCAATCCGTGGTAGTGGTTGCAGAGGCTGCAATTCAACAGGTGCCAGAACTATAAGAGAAGGGAGATTTCCTCTCCAGTTGGTGAAGCTGTGATCTCAAAAGAGTGGGGTGAACTTGGATGCCAGTTTTTTTCTCTGTCTCCAATTTTCCACCTCTTGGCCCTGTGGATGGCAAAGTAGGATAACTAAAGCCAGATTCTGGCCAGAGGACAAAAGAGTAGAGCCCAGGGAACCAAAAATTATAGGAAAATTACATAGATGAATGAGCTCAGGAAATGTGAACCTATAAAGTTTTTTTGTGAACTACTGGCCTCACCTCTAGTTGTGCTCACATGGGTCCGATCCTAATGGGCATACCAAAGACTTTGAGAACAGGACTAACAATTGACCACTACCCAGACTGCAGGTCAACCACTGGATGGTGCACATACAGGGAAGACAGCAGGTGTGACTATAAAGAATTAGCAGGAGGGAATTTTTCCTAATATGAAACCATTCTGTATCCTGACTGTGGTAGTGGTAACATGAACCTATGCAGATATTAAAATTCATAACACTCTATACTAAAACAAAAACAAAAAAAACAAACAAACAAAAAACTATCTGGTAAGATAATTTAAAAAACAGAATTAACAACAACAAAATCAGTGAGATTGTGTTCTCTCTCACATTTCCTAGACGTAAGCATCAGAATTGACTCTGACTAACTTAGGCAGAAAATGCTTCTCTGAATTCACACGATTTACCAAGGCTCAAAACTTGTGCTCCCAAACACTACACAATGATAGCTGAAAATGTCTCCAGCCTTAGGAGAGCTTTGTCGAAACCATGTTGCCCATGTAAAAACAAAGAAGAGAAGTAATTTGAAGCAGAAACTCCAACTTCCTCTTGGCTCTGCAATTCAAGGGAATGCTAACCCAGCTGTTTGTTTTTCTTTTTAACAGTTTGTTTTGTCTTTGAAATATAAACACTGAAACTTTTTAGTATATGCACTGCCTCTGATCTATTCCCTAGAGCACTAGCATACAAACTTTTTTGATCACATACCCATCAGCAAATATTTTTGAGCATTACCCTTAAAATACACATTTATTTACAAGTTATAAATATTACGATATTTATATATTGTGTGTATTCTAAAGAACATCTAAAAGGAATGAAATAATATTTTTAAATAACATTAAAAGAGCAAAAAAATAATTTTTTATTTCATTAAGAAATTATTAATGTGAGCAATGCTATTGAATATGTTTCAAAATCTGATCCTAAATTCAGCTTGATTTTAATGTAAGCTATACTTAGAAAAAAATTTACAAAGACATGTAAATCTAAATGAAAGATGTACATCATTAGTTATGCTGATTAAACTGTGGTGCTGACTATTTAAACCTCATCTACTAATTATACGAAAAAAGTTTTTGTGTGTACGTGTTGAAGGGAGTGAGTGGAAGAACCTGGTTAGTAAATTTCCACTTTTCTGCTATTGGGCAAACAATTGGAAGATGTTACGTTTTTGTATTTTCAACACATGGCTTCAAGCCTCACTGAAATTTTTTAGCTAGAAAAATTTAAATAGGTTAGAAAACCATGATATCCAGTTTTTTTTTAATTATTTAATTTATTTATTTATTCTCTCCCTTCTTTAATTCCCCCCCCCCGCCACAACTTCCATCCCTGACCTATGGATGTTGCCATTTCCCCTTAAGAACTGGATCTCTGAAGGCAGGGCATCTCCTCCCACGCACTCACGTGGACCTGGCGCACCCAGAGTATGGTCCATGGCTCCACCTGGGGTGCGAACCCAGGACCTTCTGCGTGTAAAGCAGACATGCTAACCACTAAACTATGGAGCCACCCCCAATGATACCTAGTTTTTAACTGCTGTGCAGATGAGAGATTTTATAAGTGCCAACCTGACATCATTTACAATAACAGTATCTTGAGATGATGGAAATGTTTCTCGAAAATTTATTTTAAAAATTCTCCATAGCACAAATTTCTTTTGAAAAATGCTTCCTTGCTAACTGATAAAAAAAAAATCATCTTTACCTTGAAGAAATAGATCAGGGACATTTATTGTTTTTTTAAAAATCTACTAGGACACATCTTCGGCTATGCTACCCTAAACAAGCCTGATCCCATCTGATCTTGGAAGCTAAGTAGGGTCGGGCCTGGTTAGTACTTGGATGGGAGACCACCTAGGAAGACCAGGTGCTGTAGGCGTAAAAAATTAAAAAATAAGGGATTGTAAGCTGACAAGGTCTTTGTAATCTGCAAGGTCAACCAAGGGTTTCCTCACCTAAAAAAAAAAAAAAATCTGCTAGGACGCATACTATCAATAACTGTATGATATCAGAGAAAACATCAGCAAATTTGGTATATTTCACCTTTCCTAAAACAAATCTTGTACTTCATCTTTCCCTTTCAATGGAATTCTGGTTCCAGCTTTGGTGGTCTGTGTTGTTTAGGAATTACTTTCTCATTTAAAACAACTAGAAAAATTAAACGAAAAAATTTTTTTAAAGCTGTTTCAAGGTATTAGAGAGCTACTAAGGTGGACCAAGACCCAAGAGAGAGGCGAGTCCAGAGAGGCAAGCCTAGCATTCCAAGTTGCTTTTCCCTTGTAGGGAACTGCCTGTCTAAAATGTAAAGGACAAAAGGCTCGACGAGCTTTCAATAGCTTCATAAGACTAGGGGAACAAAAACCAGAGGAGGAGCCCTGGTAAATATTTCAGGGACTAAACCTAGAAGTAAGGTGAACTAAAAATAAATCATCTCTCTCAAGGATTGAAGCCTAACTTCAAAACATGTCAATCCTTGTTTGAATCACGGGGATCTACAATTGCTAGCATCCCTAGCCTAAAAAACTGCCTAAACAAAAGTAAATCTTCTTAGAGGAAGATAACGATCCAGAGATTTAAACTATTTCTTCAATGTCAAGATCTTGATAAAAAATAACCAGGCATAAAAGAAAATAAAAATAACTGAAAATCAAGAGAAAAAAAAACCACACAATAGATCAAATGCACAAGGAAGCCAAGTAATGAAATTATCTGATATAACCCTAAAATATATATGATTAATATGTTGAAGTAATTAAGAGACAAGTCTGGAAATGTTGGTAGAGACTGAAGCATGAAGAAGAAAAAGGATCGAAAATAAAGAAAGGAGATATTCAATATGTGATAAATATGTAAAAACATCTATAATTAGAAAAGAGAGAAAGTTGGGGCAAAAGCAACATTTGAAGA